TGTGGGTTTTTGTCCACCAGAGTAGAGAAGGCAGAGAAAACCACTTTAAAACGTCATTCCAGGAAAAAAAACAACAATGACAACAAAAAGAATTCATTCTCACTTACTGGCCATTAAGTAGGGCTTTGGAGAGTTATTTAAGTAGTATTTTGGAGACTTATTAAGTAGGGCTTTAGAAAGTTTATTTTGGAGAGCACTTTTTTACCCAATTATAAAAAACCCATTAGGCACAAGTAGTTTTTTTCTTTGTTTGTTTCTCAGCACAGGGATGATGGTGCTGGAGACTGACATTTTCAGCTTGCCCCTTCTCTTCCTCTTGCCACTTTCATGAGAGAGTGCATGGAGGCAGCAACTGCTGAAGTCAATGCTGCTGGGAACTTCTGCCGGGTTGGGATGTGGTCCCAGCCAGTGTAAGGGATAACCTCCGACTCACCCAGAGATGAGGAGTTGAGAGGAGGCCCGAGGAAGGGGGAAGTGCTGTCACTTGGGACTCTTTCTCCTCTTACAGGTGCCTCAACTTCTGTGAGTCATGACACACAAGACCCACGATGGGGTCAGAAGTGTTGGACCCCCTGAGGGTGGAGGGGTGGCAGTGCAAGGCCATGGCGGTGGCAGTGGGGCCATGCAGGGCACTGGGGAGTGGGGAGCTCCAGCTGCAGCCTGAGGCTGTTTAGTGCCTGCACTGAAGCCCCAAGTACCAGGCTCAGTTGCTCAACAGAAATTTGGCAAGCAGCTGTGCTTTGTATCCCAGGGCTGCGTCATGGCTGTCAACAGCAGAGCAGGAGGCAGGGCTCATCTGAGGGAGCTGGGATGGGTGGAGAGCAATGTCCTGGTAAAAGCACCATGGAAAGGAGAACATAGCCACAAGAAGACTCCCTGTGCATGAGTTATGCATTGTACAGCAATGAGACGACAGAAGCAAGTCCTGTTGAAAGCTTTCTGGAGAAATAGTTTGGCAATGTCCATTTAAAACCAGTACAACAGTACTGAGTTCTGTGCAGAGCAGCAACCATCTGGAGGCCAGACCAGGAGTGACCCAAGTCCATGTCCACCACATAGGCAGGCGTCTCTGGGCACTGTGATCTCGATGCTCTTAGCCTTGAGGGGTGCTGCTTGCTTCCAGTGTTGGAGTTATGTGCTCAAAGAAGGGGAGAGTTCTCAACTGCATCATTCTGTACAGGCTGGATTCTGAATAAATCCAGACAACCAGTCTTTGAACACCCTCAAGGAGAAAGCTTCACATAAAATTACCAGGTTTTCATAAAGACATACACAAACTTGGTCGTGCATGTAAGTTCACTGCAAAGACTAAGGTGAACAACTGTACAGGAAGAAAGGGATGAAAAGTAGGTGAAATTTAAAACTCTCAAGATGGATGAATGCTTCTGCTGTTTTTTTCAATCTAAAAGTGCACTTTCATTTTAAGTATCTTAAAAGAACAGATTTCAGGAGAATGTTAATAAGAGAGTTATGCCTAAATTAGAACAGAATATGCATGTTGTGATCAGTACACAGATCTCAAGTTTCAAAGCAACCCTAAATAATTGAACACTTCAATCGAAATGGTACTGACAGCTCACTAGAATATGACACAGACAGAAACATCCTTTCTTCTGCTCAGGATTAATTGTGGCCCCCTGATAGCACCAAATGTTATTTATCTTCTATGTATGTGGAGTCCTACAGTTGTCCACTGCACAGACCAACAAATTTTGTTCCATCAGCAGCAGGAAACAGACCTGCTGCTTTCCAGCTCATTGTAATTTCCAAGAGAACTGGAGAATCTGAAACCTCAGCCTAAGTCACCATTTTAGACACTTCAAATATTATAGACTATTCACTCAGGAGCCACCAGGTGATGGAGCCTTTGGCTGTAGGTAAATATTAAAACACACAAATAAATAAGCAACAGCATTCCACTCATTTTCACTATGATCCCCATAACAAGGTTTCTAAATAACAGGAAATTACTTCAGTTTCTTATTCCAACCTCCCTGTTCTTTTTGACCCACTGCAATAAAAAGAAGTATAGAGTCTAAATACTGGCAAAATAGTCAGAATTGGGATTTGGCTTCCATTTGTCCAGAGCTAAAACATTTGTCTAAAACAGTGTCTTTCTTTGTCCCTTTAGTGTCCCACCCCCTCTGATGGGAAGCCTGATCCAAGGTGTCACAAACCTGGGGAACACCTACTACACATCACAAACTGGATACTTTGGTCTAAAAGCTGTAGATGGAAAGACAGAATGTGTGTGCTGAGGAGCAGTTACTCCCTGTCTCAGAATGGAAACAGCCCTTGAGCAACAAGAGCAACTTGTACTGACGATTTACTGGTATATGTGAAAACTCTCAGTTAGAGACTCCTTTTCCTTGCAGTGAGTTTCCTGACACAGTGTCTGCTATTGCCTTATGTTACTCTGGATATTTTCATCAGATACCCAGTAATCATCTACTTGCAGAGGAAATGCTGATTCTTCCTAACACCATGTATTTACTTTCTGCTGTGTTGCCCAGTCTTAAAAAAATATTATTGCACTTGCTGGTCTTCCAAGGAATGAAATCCTGTCTATGTTTTTTTCGTAAGTAATAAACATCAATTCACATGGGGAACCCCTTTCTCTTTGCAACTCCCCAAAAGAGGGTGGTGAAGGTAGAACAAAAAGAAGATTCATGGATTTATTCACAGTCTGTCCAGGGTTGGGTGGTCAGTCCCCACAAGTCTTATATTTTTAGCTCCTTTGGCTGCTTAGTTAACTTCTAATTTGCTCTATTTCCCAGGTATGACATCAGACAGGATAATTTTTAGTAGCTGATGAAATTAAGTGTCTTAACAGAAATAAACCCACAAAGAGAGTTCATTTTGTGGAGTGTTGGCTGCTCAGCCTCCTGAGGGCAGCTGAGTGAAATTTCAGTGAAGCTCCAGGGACTGACCACATCATTTATTGTGCACGGGGTAAAGCTAAGGTGCAGTTAAGCTCTTTTGGAATAAACTAGCTTAAACTAGTAAATTAAAAGTCACTGCAGCTTTCAAGGCCAAAATGGGAGATATATGGACAACGTAATTTTACTGGGGACTAAGGGTGAAAGAAAGAGGCTTGCAAACTGGTTGGTGCAATGTGTGTCTGTGAGCAGGAGCAAACAGAGTAAAGCTTAGCCATGTTTCCCTAAGATATTAAGCCATAGGGAGGGTTTTATGTACAGGAGGCTGGCTAAAAAACAGAGCTCAGACTGTGTGCAGAGGGAATAGTTCTTCTGCATTTGGATGAGCATGGAATACATGAAATGTACGTATCTGTAAATCAATAGGCTTGTGTAAATAACCCCATATTCTTATTAACTTATTCTTCTAATAGACAAAAGCCCCATATCTTAATTAACTTCTTGTCTTAAAGGGTTAAAAACTCTGTCTGAGCAGGATGATATGGAAAGCGATCGAAGCTTTACTTTTGGTGAAATCTATGAGATCTCTAATTGATTAAAAAAAGATCAATTTTATTTTGTTCATAACATTGAAGATTATCTTCTTTGTGCTCCTAGTGTTTAAGTTCTAAGCATGAAGGGACAGAATTTCAGCTAGATGCCCAAGGACTTAACTACATAATTCCCATTACAGTTAATTAAATAAAATGATAATAACTAGAATTAAAACCCAGGGATTTATCCTATAAAGTAATTTAAAGAGACTGATGAATGGAAGGCATTATACCATTTTAATCAAATTACTGCTGACTCACTTTGAATGAAGGTTATATAACCAGAAATGCAATCACAAGCAGATACAGAATAAATACTGCTCAGTATTAGATATGTGCAAAGTATTGAAAAAACAAGTCTCATCTCAAAAAAAAAAAAAGTACCAAAAAATATTACATAGGGAAACATAGTCTCCCAAGTTTTAATGTACTTACCACACAGCTGAAGTTTGGAATAGTTGCATATTTGTAAGAGTAAGGGTACAGCAGCATCTGTGCATATGCGTGGAAGGACAAATAGGCTTTTATTTGTTTCCGATGTTTGCGGAGAAAATGAGCAACAGCCTTTACTTCAGGCTCAGACTCAGGAAAAGGACCACAGTAGGTGTCATCACATGGGTGAAATGAAGCACCTTCATCTAGAGATTGAAAGAGAAAGTTGATGGTGAACGATCACAGAGAATTTCCAAGGGTCAACTTTGGGCTCAGCTGGTGTGGGCCTGCATGCAAAAATGTAAAAAGCAATAAACAAATTGCTTTCTTGTGACCGATGGGCATGAGCCAGTGGGACCTCAGTACAGCAATCTGCTTGCTCATCTACTAGACACACTAAGTTGCCAGCTGGCCAACTACACGCAGTTCTCCCCAGTGGACATGTTTTTCACCCAACAGAAAAAGGAGAGCCTGACTTCATTGTATTTTCTTCCCTGGCTTTCCATATGAGCTACCTATTTTATGATAGCATTCCAGTATTAAAACTTTGAAGGGTGTCAGTTGGTCTGTTTGAAATCAGAGCTGTACCTCTTTCACTAGACACTGCCAAGACAAATCTAGCCTTTAAGAGCATTTTAACATACTGGCTACTACAATGGTGGTTACAATGGTAGGTAGATAACCTCAACAAGCATTATCTGAGAGACCAGTTTAAAACATGAGAATAGTTTCTCACTACTGCCTATTTTTACTCTTGCAAACCTTATGGGGAAAACCAGACAAGCCACATGGGACGACTGCTCTGCTAACTTAAACAGAAATCATCTCAGTTTGCATAGGGCTTAATTTTCGTTCAAGTTTGGGGCAGGGGTTCAGTTGTGAGGATATTTGTCATCATGTCAACCTGTCCAGGTGGCAGCAAGCTGCAGAAGTGTGGCTTGCCTGTAGTACCCCATGAGGTACTGAAAAAGGAAACTCAGAAAAGGAGATGCGGCAGTGGCTCCTTTATCATTTAGTGATTCTGGATCTAAGCCACCATTTCATTTACACCTTAGGGCCTAGGCCTAAAAGAACAATATTTATGCAAATCCACTCTGCTCATTTATCTGCAGTGATTTCAAAATGCCACATATTTTACACTGGCCCACAGAATAATAAGTTTGGTTGCAACATTCCCTGGTGTCATCAGGGACTTACGGAAGCAGTGCGTTATTAGCTTTCCTTTGTATAGTAAGTACTGCCATCTTCAAACAATAAGAAAAGAGCAGTGTGTGAGAAGGCATAATAATATGAATTAAAACAGGGTTATGCAATCAACTTAATGCCAAAAAAAAATTTTAAAGTGGAAGAATTTCATGCTGCAGCTTCATTTGTAATATGAAAATAGAGGCTACCACTCAATGGCCACAGGTGGGGATTTCAAAAGGTATTAGTGCTTAGATCGCAGTGGATAAGGGGATGGGTTATATAGAGGGCAGATGGTGTCCTCCCTGCAGAACAGATGGCCACCAAGTCATCCAAATCCCAAGAGCACTCTCTCTCGATGTCTTGTCAAATAATATAGCTAAAGGAGAGCTATTTAACAGAGCCTTCAGAGTCTTTGCTTCTTTTTTTATGGATACTTCATCTCCTGTAACAGTGTTGTATACTGAATCATGAAAATGGACATCACTGTTAATATTAACAGCAAGTCCTGCAAGCTAATGGTAAAATGACCCAATAGTAAAATATGACTCAGTTTAATGACTTTCAGTGAAGAAAAAAAGTCTCTAAACTGTCCAGCCTACTATCATGAGCCATTTACATTCCCAGCTGTAATTAATGCTTTTCCTTAAGTGAAGCTGGTTGGTAACAAAAAGAGAGGGTTTCCATGGTGGCCTTGGATAATGTAAGGATATCCTCAATTTTCATACTGGAAGTTCTTTTAAAGTAACACAAGAAGGAAAAAATATATCAACTCCTGTGAAATTTCTGAGCTACAGTTATGAGAAGAAAATGAAATTGCGTAAAATGTTACAGTGCTGCCTTATTTTTGTACCTGATAGCATACTGGTGGAGGACAATTATCCTCCAGCATCCATCATGAGATCAAATGTACAAAGGAAATGTGTGCAGAGAGTGATAAAACCAATGCTTTGGTACAGAAGGAAGACTGGGAGGCTGCATGAGCTGTAGCATGATTCTCAAACTTCCTTGCAGGCAGTTCTGCCGGTATGGGGTACTGTCATACTGTCCTCAATGAGCAACAGGGTGCACTGGAAATTGGGATGCACTGGAAATTTTAACTCCCAGTGCTGCTTTCTTGGAGGCTTTGGATACAACCCCTTTAACTGGATTTGCCCTATGACATAATTTAGTTCTAAGTACCTCATTATTGGCTTTAAAGTTGCTGCTTATTTCATGAACATCAAACCGTTGTGCCAATTATTGCATACATATATATTGCAAGGAGCGTTTCTACCCAGAGATCTTGCTGTCAGTATCCACCTCGGTCTGTGTGCAATTTCTGTGCACTGTTTTGGGTTTGGGGCGCTGCAAAGTGAAATCTACCACAGTCAGTGATATGGCCCTTTTCTTGGTCCCTAAAGAACACAGAAGCAACATCATAAAGCTTACATCAAAGTCCCACACTAGAAGGCAAGAGGAAAGCAGAAGGGATGCTGTGTTATCTTTACCACTAGCACACTGCTTTGCTGCAGCCAGATTCTGCCACAACACACCTGCCTGGAAGCCCCACAGTGAAGTTCAAGCCTGTCTACAAACTGTAAGTGTGACTGAACTGAATTAAAAGGTTTTTACAAGCATACGCAGCATTAAATGTTAGCACACCATGATTAGTAAGCCTCAAAGTGTGATATGATCCAGATTCTTCTCTGTCTCATTTAGTGTTAGATTAATGAGAACATGGGGAGCTGGGTAAGAACCTTCTGAGCACCAGTCAGTCCAGTTCATAAAAGAGCTCTTTGTTCTTTGGCAAAATAGAGAATCAGACAGAGTTTGGGGTTTGGTGAGGGAAGAAAACCAAGTGCTTTGTGGGGACAACCTTCAAGGAATTTTTATTTTTTAAACCCAGGCTGGGGACCTGTCTTTCATGTTCAGTGCAGGGGAGAAATCCAACAAATAGTAGATTACAACACACAACACGTGTGTATTATAGTTTCACTCAGCCTAGGAAAAATGTTTCTTTACTGAAAATTAAGCAAAAGTTTTCAGGACTGAGTAAAATGTGTGCTTTAATACAGTGGCTATGGAGCAGGAAGAGGGAGGAGTAGAGTGATTTGAATCCAAGAAAGATGAATTAGGACTAGAAATAAAAGGCACTGTGTGAGTATTAATGTTGCACCAATAGGTACCTGTAATATGGCTCTGAAGAATTTGTAAGAGAACTCTTCATTCCAACTATGCTGGTGGCTGTCTTCTGAACAGTTCATGTATGCCCCCAAAATACTGCAGTGTGACTTAGGCATTTAACTAAAAGTTGACAATAGGACTTCGGTTCATTTTTACATTATTTTTGCAGCATAAAATTGCTTTAAAGATCATAACAGCAGCCCTTGAAGTGTCTTTGGTAGTGGAGGGATTCTCAACTAACCCAATTCTGTAACTGCCTCTGTGTCAGTCTTCTCGTTACTGCAAGTAGAGTCGAAAAAACCTGGAAGCATATTTCACAGGTGCACACTGTATTGAATGTATGCTTCTGCTCACTCTCCCTCATTTGTAATCTCCCCAGGCAGATTAGTCCCATTCACTTTTATCCTTACAGTTCTCAAAAATCTACTTAAAGAATCCAGTTGCTGCAAGCCAGACTGTACAGTGCTTACTCCTACGGCAAGTAATCGGAGAACTGAGGAAAAATCTAGAGACTTCCAGTGGAAGAGGGGTGGGCGGAAGGGACGGGCTACATTGCGCTAGCACTATGTGAACACAATTTCTGTCTTTACAAGTTTATAATGTAAATCAGGAAGATGGATGAATTCTGGAGGAGAACACAGTTGCACAGAGGTGAAGGGAAGTTGCTCAAGATGGGAGAGCAGGTCAGCAAAACCAAGTGTATATTGCTGTATTTCACGAGGTGCTGTTGCTTTCTGCTGCACCAGAACTTGTACAGCTGCTTACTCCTGCATGAGCTGCACTGTCTTGTTGAAAGATTTCACAAAACACCATTTCTTCTTCAAGTGGACCCATTCCAAATCTTCCCCTAGTATTTCATTATTGCTGCATTCTCTATGCAAAATTGAGGTCAATTTCTACGAATGTATTTACAGAAGTGCTGGAAGTTTAAAATTAGATCTCCATGCATTTAGAAGCACCTTCTTTCTTTATTAAATCACTAATAATAATGGCCTTAAAATATTCTCAGACATTTCTCTGTGAGGCCAACAAAGCAAGTCTGACATTTCCAAAGCTAAAGCCATTTCAGAGAAATGACAAACCAAATAAAATGAAATGTTTCCTAAAGCTGTAGTCAGGTAAATTCTGAAATGTGATGGGTCAGGGTCAATACCGTGCTTCAAATTATTTACATGACTGCAGAAATACAGAACAGCTGTATGTGCGGTTTTTTACATTCGCCACACTTACCATGAAATCTTTTTACTTGTGATGAGATGTGTTTTTCCAAAGTTCAGTACTTTTAACTTTTTAGAAGCTAGAAGGAAGATCTGAGCCCTGGCTTGTGGCTTTATAGGAAAGTGACTTCAAGTTTAATTATGGAAAAGAGAACACTCCACAACAGATGTGACCTAACCTCCCTTTAAGGGACAGAGTGTATTCTCAGCAAATTTGCTGACAATACGAAGCTGGAAGGAGTGGCAGATACAGCAAAAGGCTGTGCTGCCATTCAGTGAGATCTGGACACGCTGGAGAGCTGGGCAGAGAAGAACCAAATGAAGTTTAACAGGGGCAAGTGTAGGGTCCTCCGCCTGGGGAGGAATAACCCCGCGCACCAGTACTGGTTGGGCGTCAACCTGCTGGAGAGCAGCTCTGCAGAGAGGGACTTCGGAATTTTGGTGGATAACGGGATGACCATGAGCCAGCAATGTGCCCTTGTGGCCAAGAAGGCCAATGGCGTCCTGGGGTGCATTAAGAGGAGTGTGGCCAGCAGGTCGAGGGAGGTTCTCCTTGCCCTCCACTCTGCCCTGGTGAGGCCACACCTGGAGGCTGTGTCCAGTTCTGGGCCCCCCAATTCAAGAGGGACAGGGAGCTACTGGAGAGAGTCCAGCGGAGGACTACTAAGATGACGAGGGGACCGGAGCATCTCTCCTACGATGAAAGGCTGAGAGACCTGGGGCTCTTTAGCCTGGAGAAGAGAAGGCTGAGAGGGGACCTTATCAATGCTTATGAATAACTAAAGGGTGGGTGTCAAGAGGATGGGGCCAGGCTCTTCTCAGTGGTGCCCAGTGACAGGACAAGGGGCAACGGGCACAAGCTGGAACACAGGAAGTTCCGCTTGAACATGATGAAAAACTTCTTTACTCTGAGGGTGACAGAGCACTGGAACAGGTGGCCCAGAGAGATTGTGGAGTCTCCTTCTCTGGAGATACTCAAAACCCGTCTGGATGCAGTCCTGGGCGACCTGCTCTAGGCTAACCTGCTTTGGCGGGGGACTTGGACCAGATGATCCCCAGAGGTCCCTTCCAACTCCTACCATTCTGTGATTCTGTGATACTTACTCTGTTGGATAATCAAACAGAGGATAATCTGAACTGGTGGACCAAAGTATCTCCAGACTTACCGCACCATTTCACTTTCCAGTTGCGATTAGCATCAACACCATGACACCGAAATCTCGTGTTCTTTGATCTTGTTTTTCTCCAAAATCGATCCTAACATAAGTTATGAAATAGATAAATAGCAATATTACTATATTTTTGCAAAAATCTGATTTGTACACATCAAAAAACAACCCTGGTAAACATATTCAGTATTATATTTTAACTGGAGTAATTTACTTCCATTTTGCATGCCACAAAGTGATGGACCAGGTTTTACAGAAAGTCACCTTTGAATGATGTAACAACTATTAATCTTTCCTGTCTGAACGACTTTTTGAGTAATACTACTGATGCTACTTACATTTGTCCAGCTAAAATGATATCCATCCACGTTAAAAACAGGCATGATATAGAAATACAGCTGAGTTAGCATCTTTCTCATGGCAGGATCAGTCTGGTATGTCTGAAGAGCCTAAAGCAGAAAAGCCAAAGAAAGTAGTTTCCATAATAAAAATAATTTCCTGATTAAGTATTGTGACAGGCTAAGACAGTCACGTGGCCTTTGGCAGTACAGAGGCCTGATCTCATGGCACCACTGACATTCTCAGAGCTGTACCTGAAAGGCTGACATCTTCCAGCAAATGTGATTAAAGGCAGCAGGTGAACATGTGAAAAAGGTGTTCAAAGGATCCTATCTCTCTGCTTCTCAGTTACTTTCAATAGCCAACAAAACACAACTCACATTACAGAGAAGCAAATGCATACGAAGTGTTTCTTGACATAGGAGCTGAAGGTCAGTGGAACAGATTCTTAGTTGAGGAAACGAGTTTAGCTCCTGTAAGACTGTGGAGTGCTGTTGTTTCCACCAGGTGATGATTTGCATAAGCTTTTGATGCATTCAAAGTCATTCATGACATGCACAATCATCAATACTGGCAGCTTATTCCTTTATAATTTAGAAAACCCTCTACTTTTGGACAACCTCAAGTATAAAGGTTAGTAGAGGAAGTCTAAGGAGGGAAAGTATATTTTTCCATTCTACATTTTAGAAAAATACAGCAAAACAAAGGCTCCTCAGCAGTTCTGTTTGCTAGTACCAGGGATGCTCCTTTACCAGTTTCAGGAAGTTTGGACTCCAAGCTTTTGCTGTAGCAAAAACTTGATGATGTCATAGCTGGGATCAAACTTCCATCCTTCAAAGTTTGTCTTGATTCTGTAAGGCGAGGAATCAAGTGCTTCGCCTGCCAGGCGGAAAGTGTAGCACAGTGACGCTGGGTTCCGAGGGATGCCTGAGGCTGGCTCTGCTCCACCTGGTGCTGAGATTACAGCCTTCTGCGCTCCAGTATTTCTGTCCCTTCAGATCCAAGAAGTAACATGTGTTTGGGGGGCAAAGTGAAATGCTTGCTCTGAAATAAACTAAGCTAAAAGCTTTTCATTTGACAAATGCCAGGGAACAGTATCAAGCACAGGAATTCGATACTTCTGTGCTCCTAACCATGCAGCTGTTTAGATTATTGGAGCTGACATGGGAGCTGACGGACACTTTTTGTGGAATACCTGTAAGAAATACTCATACAATTGGAGATGTTTGGAGCTGAAATTCACTCATGGAGGAGTCTGAACATTGTTTTCTTTACTGATGGCCTAGTGAGTGCTTTTTCTAAGCTGTTCATTAACCACCTCTCTGTCATGCGGTGCTTTCTCCTCACCCAGCCTCAGCTTCCCTCCCAGCAGTGCTCTGCACATGCAGATCCTTCAGCCTCACTTGCAGATTCAAAGCACAGCATCCCTGTGCAAAGCTACTGAGTCACCCAGTGCTACTCCACACTGAGCTCTCCTTCTCTACCAGCCAGGGAAGGGGAGGGGAAGGTGAGCAATAGAGGGCAAAAGGGGCACAGCACAGCCTGAAATGAGATGTGGGCAGCAGCTGGGACAGCACAGCATGGAGCACTGCAGGGTGGGACGAGATGCTGAAAGAGGGTGTTTCTATCACAAGGGAGAAGAGGATGACAGCGGGCTTTTAAGGGGAAGCTTGGTGGAGCCACGGACTGCGTGGGAGAAAGTCCTTGGCCCATGCAGAAGTCACAGGTCCCCTGGCCCACATGCCAAAAATTCCCCAAAGATTCTTAGCTGAAATGGTATTGCATTTAAATTTGATTTACTTGCATTAGGAAGCCACATCAAGGCTACAAATACATTTGGATAAAAATGTTGGTATTCAGGGAACTGCAGCTATAGTAAAAAGTAATTTTTTCAAAACATAAATCAATAGTTACTCAAAAATAGTAACTGTGAAAACAAGGGCTCTGTTTCATTGATGTTCCACATGCAGAAAACACATACTGAAGTAACTAGGGCTACTCTGTACATTAAACTAGCCCTGCACTTAAATCTTCACAGGATTAAGAGCCTGTATGGAAAGTATGGATGTTAAATCTGTAAGACTGTTCTTACAGGGGAAATAGAACCAAGTCATGCTCCAAAATGTGAGTTAAGAAAAATGAACATTTTTATCATGCTTATTTCAGGGAGAAGTAATTTGGCTGGGGAGGAAATAAGACACCACACACCACTTCCTTGACTTTTTAATGCTTTTCTCTTTTTAGACAGTTAATACTGTCTAAAATTAAGCTTAGGTTGTGTCTTCATGGTGGGTATTTACATAGCAGAGATAATGAGATTGGCATATTTGCCTGTATCTGTATGCCATTCTTTTGCTGTCAGTCACATCTGTAATGATGCATTTTGTTACCCTGTAGTGTTATATACTCTATTTTAAACTGCAATGCTATAAGATTAAACTCTTTAAAACACTCTTAAAATCATCTCCTTAAAATAACCACAGATTATTAATTAATTTAAGGAAATACACGCCTTAAAAATTGCATGGATAAGGTTTGCAAATTTTTCAGAACCTTTCCGAATTTGCAAAAAGTAACATAAAGAAGATAATTTGAATTAAGACTTTTTTTACATTTTAAATCCTGTGAAGAATATATTTTTCTTGCTAGGTAAAAGCACCACCATTTAAAAACCAAAACAAAACATAAGACTGCAAAATGTCAAGCACCCTTTCAATTTTTAGAGCCACTCTGTATTCTTTTAATGCCTGCTGTCCTTGACAAAATACTAGGAGAGACTTTAGAAATCATTATAGTCCCCAGTAATACTCTTCAAAATTTTAAGTCTTAAAGTTGATTTATAGCCAAATATGTCAGTCAATCAATTCTGTTCTTTAAAGCATATATGGTTTATCTTAATAATCTGGTTACCCTTTTAGAGTAGCATTCCACTAAAAATGTAATGGATCGGTGCTGTTTTCTTCTTCATGGAAAGCAAGAGTTTAGATAGTGTAACCTGGTGTAAGTGAGATCATATTCACTCTTTCTGCTAAAAATATTTTGGCCTTCATACTGTTTTCATCTGGCAATTTTATTTGATGTATGTAATCAGACAACACAGACTGTATAATCTTTCGTCCCTTAACAGAGAGGTGTTTGGCAATGTGCCTTACAGTTACTAAGGTGTGTCCTTGCTGCAGCGAAGCCCACAACTTGCCTTTTGTGACGTGACTCTCAAATCCTCCAAACAATGAACATGCGAACTACACCCCTGCCCCCACAGCAGCATTGAAATGTTTTCTCTTCACTATGACACCAGCAAGCTGAATATAAACCTTTAATGAATTAACTACATGGTAGTTTGCAGAGAGCTCTCAGAATACAAAGTAACACAACTTTATAGGTCTCCATCCTGCTTCCCTTTCATGCAATCAATAGCAGCTTTGCTGCTCAACGTATAGAGAGACAGACTGGCTCAATACATGCTGAACAGTGTTATTAGTGAATGAACAGACGATACAAGAACCCTGCCAACACCGTGCAAGCAATCTGCCTGGGGGACAGGGGAAAGGACCGATGATTAATAGGAGGGGGCTCGATCATCTGGATCAGCAGAGTGGTGGTTGTTGATAGAGTGACGCCAGCTTAGGCTACCTGAGGATCTGGTCTATAGGAAATTAATTTTGGGGGCAAAGTGAACAAAAAAGCTGTATTGTAAACCGCCAAGGCAACAAAAGGCAAGAGTTTAAAATGGATTTAGGATGCAGTTGGGCTTTTTATAAAGCACAGGGATTGACTGAGAAGGACAAAGCAAGGAGACAGGTTTGAGAGAAACTCTGAAATCGCAGTTGGTCTTAATAATGGTTTGCTGTCCCACAATTAATTATTATGAAATTTAAGGTAACAATTGGCTTTTGCTGTTTCTGGTTTTGAATTAAACAATCACTCTGAATTACACAGTTACCATTTTAGCACAGAGAATTGACTCCATTGCTGTTCTACCAGAAATCGCATAAATCTGCTTCTGACAAAACAGGATTAGCTCTTCCATGCCATTATTAAGATATCAGTTAAAACATCCTTTCTGATGGTAACATACGATGTTTTACTATTGTCTGTACATCTTACACTTTAGTGGGGTGACACTATGATCTGCCATTCAGGCCTTCATTGCCACTTTATCAGTTTGGTACGTTAGTATTTAGCTCTGTCTTGGAAGCAGTACATCATTTTCCCTTTATGGCTAGAGTCCTGCTTTGGCACTCACATCACCAGTAGAGTGGTAAGCCTGTTATTAAGGCCAAAGGTACAACTGAGTATCTAAAAACAAATGGCTTAAATCAAAGGGTCAAATTTTCAAGGCTGAAGCTTGAACTGGGTCTGATTTATTTTTTTGTTTAACACCAAGCAAAATCTTCCTTCATCTTTGGGAGCGTTTCCCACAGAAGGAATCCAGAAACAACCACTGAGAAAGACGAGTGTGCTGCAACTACTGTGCAACAGTACAAAGAAAGCCCATAAAGAGTCTGAAAAGAAGGACCTGTTTGCTTATGCTGCTGATTAAGGATGCAAATGGAGAAGATGCTAAAGCAGAGAAGAGGCAGAGGAACAATGGCATGATTGGCATGTTAGAGAAGAAAACAGTAGTTCCATGAAGCTTATGCAAGGCTGGGACCACCCAAGCAAATTCAGGATCTGTGGGGAAGAAGCTGTATAGTTGCACAGATCTTAGTGGAAACAGGAGATACAACTTCTTGGTTCCACTCTGAGAGGGAGTACATAAAAAAGCCCTCATAGGTCCCCAATAAGTCAAGGACTGCCTAGTGGGGAAAGTAAAGGCCTGAGTTATTCTGAAGCACTGTGAATGCTTTGGAAAGGGCAACACAAACTTCTCTACTAATAATTGTATGAAGGTAATACCCACCAACTTGGTGGAGACCCACCAAGATATATACCTCTGAAAATTGTAACTCTTGAATTTTACATCCTAGTTATTTTGGTCCAGGGTAGTACATATTGAGGGCAACCCAACAGAACTCACCCGAATACATTGTTTAATTAAATTGTTGCAACACAGTTAAATAAGAAGATGCAAATTATTGCTTGTAATTCTACTTCTGGAACAACTAAATTGTCCAACACAAAGAATTTTCTTTCTCAGTCCTTTCTCATGCTCAATAGTGTCTCTTCATATCAGTAGTTTTACTGAGTCCCTTATTACTCAGCGTCATCATACAGGAGTAGACTGCTAAAATATAAAGCAGAATTTCTTCCCTAGGGGAAATAATATGTTGGAACAACAATGTGAATTCTTTTCATGCCTTGAAGAAGAACATATCCATCAGCTCAAAAGCTTTCACAGGGTAGAATTTGAATGTCCTAGTTATTAATACTTACATAGGCGTTTGCACTACCAGTCATTGAAGAATTCCTACTATAGGCACAACACAGCTGCAGGGTTACCTTTATTTTATAAAGATGTATTCACATTGTGAAAAATGAATAGCTGCAAGCAAAATGAAAGTAATTCTTACTTTCTTAAGATCATTGATAGGCAGGAGGATGCAGCTGTGTAGTTGAAAGTGCCCAAGAGAAATAATGCAGTACTTACTCCCTTTTGGAAAACTGGAAATCATTTTAACTGTTTTTTTGCCACTGTGAAGATGTCATAGCAAAAGAAAGTGCCTTCTCTAAACTGTCTTACTGTTGGTTAGAACCTGGGAAAATCCACCATGGACTAAAAGAGAAAGAAATACTGCATAGTATAAAAATGGTTTGCCACAGCTGCTTTTAAAACAATGCGTCACATGCCTCGTCGTGGTGATACCGTGGTACTGCACTCCAACTTTTTGGCATTGGCTTAGATTTCATCCATTAAAAAATAAAAGCATCACAACTGAGGGCCCAGTCCAGGAAACTCTTGTTGGTAGTGTTGGCTGCTACATTACCTTCCTTCCCCTCAGAAGCGCACATCAGTGGTGCACACTGTTTTCAGTAGCAAGGATGTGCTGGAGAGATGAAGATACTCAGAGCAAAGAGGGGTACAAGATGTCTGCCGAAATAACGGAACTCATTCAGACCTGAACCAGCTGTGGTGTGGAGGGGGAATGTTGAGTAGAAGCAGAAACTACGTACACATAGATATGATTACTGCACAGAAACTTCAAATGGCAGGAACAGCATTTGGAGGACGAAAAAAACCCATGAGGATAAAACCGATTCTGCATTTGTACCAGCGCCTCTTCCTGTTGAAAGGCTGATGAATGAAGTACTGAGTGAAGAGGCTGGAAGAGGTGATCTCTCTGATGGAAAGAAAACAAACAGTGTTTCAGGCAGAAGCTCCTGACAGAGAAGAATGAGTTAGCTAAAGATAAGTAAGGCTGAGTGTTTCAAATATAGATGCTGCAGGAAGAAACAGATGGATATTTCCTCCAGATAATGGATATGTAGGGAACCCTTGGAGAAGTCAATTTTTCTCTGAGGTTAGGCAGCTAAAAAGACAGCTGGGGAGACTAGAGTCTGGCAAACAATAACAATTAATCTCCAATGATTGTATTGTATTTACTGAAAGAGCTGCAAAGTGTTTATGGAGATACCTGTCACCAGGTGAATGGTACTTCAAGGTGAAAACAGTCTGGTCTTCATGGTGCCATTATCACTAGCAGCTGTGAAGGAGGTTGCAGGGGGCCAAGACACGGCCCTTAGACGCTTCTGGCCTTCCTGAAACAAGGCTGAACTAAAAGATCAATGAACAGGAGGAAAACTCAGGAAGATTCCACAGAGCAAGAAGATGCCATGGTTTAAAGTGCAACAAAAAATGTCAAGTGAAACCAACATCAGCTGAAGAGCTTTAGCTGAAAGGAGCAGACCACATAAAGAAGGAACGTATCCAGCTAAAGGGTGAAAGGAAAAATCTACAGGTGTAGTGTTTGTTTTGGCCTTGCATGCCTCTGATTCACTTTGGAATATTTCAAATTATTTCAAAACCTCTTCAGGTTTCTAAGAGCCGGCTCCCAAAGATAGATTAAGAACAGTGGTGTATCTGTCCCCAGGAACAGGAGTGGTATAAGTGTATCAAGAGAGGCAGTCGGGTCCTTGCTTTCTTTCCTCTGTGGTTCAGAACTTCTGCTTGGAGAACTCAGAAAAATGGAGATGGAAAGCCTATTGTGGGGTGTGAACTAATTACATTGTCTCAAAGAAAAACTAAATACAGGTGTAATTAGCATCCTTTAAATTAGTATTAGTCTGAAAACCTAGATTGTTGGAACGTGGTATTTCAGCTGTACCTGTTCAAAAGACTTAAGTCTGTTGACAAGTGATAGTTCAAGCATATAATCTTTAACAAACATTAGTATGTTGCTTCACATAACTTTCTTACACACCCCCAAGATCAGACTGTTTCTGAAGTGAGTGAAAAACTGGTATCTGAATTTCATAATCAGCCAGTATTTTGAGGTTCTGGTAGTTGTGGATAGCAAGGGGAAATAAATTTTCTGACTCCTAAAGGACTACCAGTTTTGATGGAGCTCAGCAAGACTCAGAAATGATCCAGAATGTGAAGCTGTTTTCCTGACAGTGCGGCCTTCAGCACTGTAATGAATGACTGAGTGCTGCTCTGACTGTTGATGCAGCATATTGCAGATGTTTTGTCCATCAGGACATGGACTACGGAATTTTTCAGAATGAGTGCTACACTGGCTTTCAGCAGACCTTAAAGTAGGAATACTTATAGCTTTATGACCTTCTGGCCACATGGCCGGCGTGGCACAGAAGAAGGAAACACTGATGCTGTCTGGGTCTCCTGCTTGGCCCTGCATCTAATCACACTGTTGTCCTTATTCAATTCTGTCTATGTGTATGTGCTGTTATTTTAGGTACCCTGTCTTTACAGTCAAGCACTTAATTCCTGAGGAGGAATTTGAGGTCTTGAACCCTGCAAAATTCCTGGTAAAGACTGGTCTCTGGGGCCTGGTCCACAAGCCTAATGGCTGGCTAATTGGCAGAATACATCCCATATGCATCCCTCAAGGTGACTCATAAATCAGTCTCAGGCTTAGAATAGCAGGGGCAGGTGTTGCCATTTTGCGTCTTGGACAGTCCGTGTATTTGCCTTAGCTTGTTATTATGGAGTGAAAAGATGGGATTCAGGCCTGATTTTGGCAGCAATCAATACCAATGTCAGCATTTGAAAAAAAAAAAATCTGCCCCCAGCCTTTAACTTCCTTGTCTGCGGTTACCTGTCTGCTCCCTGAGTGCAAGATGAAGCACAAGCACATCATCTTGAATAATTTGGGAACTCAAATAATTGGGATCATAGAACACACACATTTCAGAATTTGGACTTTCAGCCATACATCTCACAAATTAAAGTATACAGAGCATACTGATATTCTTTTCAGATTTGAGATTCTTCTGAGATGAGAGCGCTATTATGGCCAGTCTTTAAGGGATGATACAGTGCTGCAGGATGAGCAGGGCTTCAGAGATGTGGATTTGGATTCCTCTACTACACAGCTCCTTTCCAGTGGGCCTGTGGATAGGAGTGACAGAACATTCATGGGTAGTCTAGCAAGGTCAATGCCTGAACCATGCTTATCAAGTCACCTTGATCAAATTCAGAAGGCTCAGAAGTACTTCTGATCATTTTTTCAGTAAGGACCTTAGATACTGGCTAGGTTCTGTCCCAGAAGAAGCAGACGGTAGCACTGCTCATCCAGGAAAAAAAAACCACAAAAGTGGTGCTGTGCAATGCAATGTAAGCTGACCCACATTCAAAGAACAGTAACATTATTTTGAGGACGGTCCTCAAGATACAAACTTTTGAAAAACGTAGGAGCCTAGGGAGTCTATGGAAGAGCAAGCCACAGTTCACATTTGAGATGCAGATATACTGAATCCAGTCAATGTATGCTAGTATTTTTCCTAAAAAGGCTGACTTTTGAGGATGGGAGAAGAAGATGATGATGGAGGTTACTGCATTTCCAAAGTGTG